AGGTGTGTAAGGGCTGTGTAACGGGTGTGTAAGGGCTGTGTAAGGGATGTACAACGTCCCAGGTGTACAAGGGGTGTGTAAGGGTTGTGTAAAGGGTATGTAGGGTCTGTGTAAGAAGTGTGTGAAGGGTGTGTAGGAAGTGCGTAAGTGTGTAAGGGCTGTACAACACCCCAGAGGTGTAAGGGGTGTGTAACGGGTGTGTAACGGGTGTGTAAGGGTTGTACAACACCCCAGAGGTGTAAGGAGTGTGTAAGGGCTGTACAACACCCCAGAGGTGTAAGGGGTGTGTAAGGGGTGTGTAACAGGTGTGTAAGGGTTGTACAACACCCCAGAGGTGTAAGGGGTGTGCAGTGACTGTGCAAGGGGTGTGTTACAGGTGTGTAAGGGGTGTGTAAGGGCTTTGTAAGGGGTGTGTAAGGAGTGTGCAGTGGGTGTGTAAGGGCTGTGTAGGGAGTGTGCAGTGGGTATGTAGCAGGTGTGTAAGGGGTGTGTAACAAGTGCAGTCTGTGTGTAAGGAGTGTGCAGCGGGTGTGTAAAATGTGTGTAAGGGCTGTACAAGGGTTGTGTAATGAGTGTGTAGTGGGCGTGTAACAAGTGTGTAACAACTGTGCAGTGGGTGTGTAATGGGTGTGTAGTGGGCGTGTAACAAGTGTGTAACAACTGTGCAGTGGGTGTGTAATGGGTGTGTAGTGGGCGTGTAACAACTGTGCAGTGGGTGTGCAAGGTGTGTGTAAGGGCTGTGTAACGGGTGTGCAGTGAATGTGTAGTGAGTGTGTATGTGTAACAGGTGTGCAGTGGGTGTGTAATAGCTGTGTAATGGGTGTGCAGAAGTTGGGTTGTGTAAGGGTTGTGTAAGGGCTGTGTAACGAGTGTGTAAGAGGTGTGTCAGAGGTGTGCAAGGGCTGTGTAACAAGTGTGCAGTGGGTGTGTAACGGGTCTGCAGTGGGTGTGTAATGAGTGTGCAGTGAGTGTGTAAGGGTTGTGTAAGGGCTGTGTAATGGGTTTGCAGTGGGTGTGTAAAGGGTGTGTAATGGGTGTGCAGTGGGTGTGTAATGAGTGTGTAACAGGTGTGCAGCAGGTGTGTAACGGGTGTGCAGTGGGTGTGTAATGAGTGTGCAGTGAGTGTGTAAGGGTTGTGTAAGGGCTGTGTAATGCGTGTGCAGTGGGTGTGAAATGAGTGTGTAACAGGCGTGTAGCAGGTGTGCAGTGGGTGTGTAATGAGTGTGTAATGGGTGTGCAGCAGGTGTGCAGCGGGTGTGTAATGAGTGTGTAACGGGTGTGCAGCAGGTGTGTAACGGGTGTGCAGCAGGTGTGAAATGAGTGTGTAACGGGTGTGCAGCGGGTGTGTAATGAGTGTGTAACGGGTGTGCAGCGGGTGTGTAACAGGTGTGCAGCGGGTGTGAAATGAGTGTGTAACGGGTGTGCAGCGGGTGTGTAACGGGTGTGCAGCGGGTGTGTAATGAGTGTGTAACAGGTGTGCAGCGGGTGTGTAAAGGGTGTTCAGTGAGTGTGAAATGAGTGTGTAACGGGTGTGTAGCGGGTGTGTAATGAGTGTGTAGCGGGTGTGCAGCGGGTGTGTAATGAGTGTGTAACAGGTGTGCAGTGGGTGTGTAAAGGGTGTTCAGTGAGTGTGAAATGAGTGTGTAACAGGTGTGCAGCGGGTGTGTAATGAGTGTGTAACAGGTGTGCAGTGGGTGTGTAAAGGGTGTTCAGTGGGTGTGTAATGAGTGTGTAACGGGTGTGTAGCGGGTGTGTAATGAGTGTGTAACGGGTGTGCAGCGGGTGTGCAAGGCCGGCCCTGCAGCCCCACCTGGGCCTGGCTCTTGGGGTGTCCCGGAATCCGGGATTGGGAAATTCGGGATTTGGGGACCTGGAAATTCGGGATGCCCTGGGAATTGGGGATCCAG